GTGGGAAGGGAAGGGAAGGGAAGGGAAGGGAAGGGAAGGGAAGGGAAGGGAAGGGAAGGGAAGGGAAGGGAAGGGAAGGGAAAGGGGTTTTGGAGACACAAAGCTCTTCTGTGCATCCAAAGCAGACGTAGCAATGCTCAGCCTGTATACAACCTGAGAACGATCTCTGTGCTTGCACTTTGTGATATCAGTCTGGTAATTTCAAAGAAAAGAGACTTACGCACATGATGAAGCAGAGCAGTTTAGGCCCTAAACAGATGGGATTTTAGTTATCAGATCTGGAGTGAGAATTTCACAGAATCACAGAATGGCCGGGGTTGGAAGGGACTTCAAGGATCACGAAGCTCCAACCCCCTGCCACACACAGGGCCACCAACCTCCACATTTCACAGCAGCCCAGGCTGCCCAGGGCCCCATCCAACCTGGCCTTGAACACCTCCAGGGATGGACGGGGCATCACAGCCTCTCTGGGCAGCTGTTCCAGCTCCTCACCACTCTCATAGCAAAGAACTTCCCCCTGACATCAACCTCAATCTTCCCTCCCTCAACTTCAAACCATTTCCCCTTGTCCTGCAGTTATCAACCCTTTCAAAGAGTTGAGAATTTGTTGCAGTTATGAGGGCTGGGACGCTGTAACGTGACTTTCTGTTCAGTACCTGATTTGTAGCATACAGTCACTGTATTAATGTTAATTCCTAAAGTTCTTTGGTTGATTTCTTTTTTGGATATCAATCCTGGGCAGTCAGTGATGCAGTGTTTGTTTGCTTAAAAAAAATAGAAAAATGTTTTCCCACTGACAGTGGGGCATCTCTATGCTTCTGGCCAATCAGACAGACCAACTCAGGTGGTATGTGTTGTTTATTTGCTTTTGTACACAGTCCTCAGTGCAGGGGATGTGGAACACGTGGATTTCCCTGGAGGAAATGCAACCCATAGCTTTGTTGTGAGCAATGCTGGGTCTGCAGTGCTGGGCTGAGTCTGCAGGACTTGTGAATCCAGCGATTACACGAGGTGTCACTTGAATGGTAGGAGAGGACCCAGAAAAAGGTATAAAGGTGTGTTCCTACTCCACTCCGGTAGTTTTTCTTGTTAAATTTTTCTGTACATGTTCTGTGAAAGTGAGGTGTAAATGTGAGGTTTGCATTTGCACTTCTACTGTAATACCTTTGTTTATGTATTCTAACAAGTAGCAGATCAAGAAGGCCATCCATGAAAAAAGGAATCCATAATAGTCATTATCTCTTTCTCTCAAAGCAAAATGAATGACAGAATAGAAACCCGTCTAAGAGCATAGCTTGGTCTGTAAGTCCCACCTTACTGTTTTTATCCTCATCTGAATAAATTGGCATTTGTGACCTCTGCTGATAAAAGACTCTTTTCCTGTGGCTGCTGCTTAGTGTAAAGCATGCTGCAGGAGGCTCAGAGATGCAGCACCATCAAACATGTACATTTACAACCAGCTTGGAAAATAGGGAATTTCTTCACAGGGAGAGCGGTGCGGTGCTGGAACAGCTGCCCAGAGAGGCTGTGGATGCTCCATCCCTGGAAGCGTTCAAGGCCAGGTTGGATGCAGCCTAGATCTAGAGGCTGGTAGCCCTGCGTGGCAGAAGGGCTGGAACCTGATGATCCTTGGGGTCCCCTCCAACGCCTCTAAGATTGGACTTAGGAAGTTATGGCGGATCAAGTTTTTTGATATTATAGAATAATTGTTTGATGTTGGATATTGTTAGAAAATATCCTCCTTGGCTAGGCTTCTCCAAGCACTTTGCTTTCTCCCTCTTTCTGCCAGACAACCTGATCTTTGGTTTTACACTGCTCACAGTATGCATTGTTGCCACGGGTGCTTTGGTACATTTTGAAGTGGACTGTACGTGGACAGATGTTTGTACTTGAAAACCTAACAGAAATAATTATCTGACATAAACTTTCTGTAATAGCATATATACTTCAGTGTGAAATAGTGCCTGATTACCCACTGTGTTATTCTTTTCCTAAATACACGTTTTTTTGATTATTTTCTAGGCAGCCATCCTGAGTATTAAGCTAAAACTACAGTCAGATCAAGATGTGGAGAAGGTGAGTCATTTCCTCTGCAGACTTCTCTGTCTTCAGATCCACCTTTTGCTAAGCAGGAATTCCATCAAAGGCCTCTAAGTTGTGATGTGTTTCACTTGAGGCTTTATCTCGTTTGCAAGAAGTCACTGCTCCATGGCTAAAGTGCCTTTACCTCTAGAGGAGTGACAGAGTATATTTTGTTAGGCCCTTTACTAGACTGTTTTCCTACTTAGAGCCACTACAATAAAAAATTCTAGCTGTGTTCTTGGCAAATAATCATTTTGGTAAAGTTTATTGGTTTTACTGCTTTGAAGCTTTGCCACTTTCTCTAATAGTTGTGTTGAAAATGCAACATCTGTCTTTTAGACAGCACAAGTTGGTTAAGTAAGGGTTTGGCAATTTAGAGCTCTTCCACGCCTCCTGTTTGCTGCAGCACTGACCATTCTGATCAAAGGCAGGGCATAATTCTTAACATCCAGCACAAATAACCTCAAATTTCTTTTCCTAGATGTGTGCACCGCTACTGTTTCAAGACAAAATTAACCTGGTTGAAGATTATGTGGGAGAACATCCTGAGCTCCAGTGCAGGCTTTTACAGATACTGGACACCTGGTGTGAACCTGATTTTAATATCAGAGATATGGCAAGGTAGAAATATTTGTTGAACTTATAAACAGCTGGGCTGACTGCCTGTCAGAGGACAGCGTGTTCTCTGCTTGCCTACCTAAGATCATTTTCTCAGCATAACGGACTGCAATCTATCTACTTTTCAGCTGAGGATGGGGACATTCTGGTATCTGTGCCAGAGTCGTTTCAAACCCTTTGCTGGTAAGGCAGAGATATCTTTCCTATTGACAGGTGCTTCATCCTGTCAGGAGAGAGGAGTGCAAAATGAGAAGTGTGCAGCAGATCTCAGCAATATGAAAATATGAAAGCTCCCTCCAGGAGGTTGTGCTAATCGCACTCCTGTGCTTTGCTGGAGACAAGGCTGAGTTTCAGTATCGGTTGTACAGGTTTGGCAGGAAGATAACACTGTGATGAAGGGGCAGAAAAACTAGAGATACTAGTGGTTAATCTTCGTGTTGTTGTGAAATAGTTGTGTGTGTTTTAATTTATAAGTTGCCTCTCACTAGAATAGCTCCTGTCAGTCACAAAGCCAGCAGTACAATAAAAGTCACAATGTAGATGCAATGGTTGCAGTCATAGTTTTGAGAGAAGATGAGAGGGAATTGCTGTCTTTCTCTTTCCCGGTCACTGACTGGGAAATTTGTGTGGCTGTATTGCTGGCTTTTTCCTATAACTCAGGAAAGATAGGGGTCTGTTCTTGCCAACACCTACCAAACCCTGGTACCTCTACTGCTAAGTATCTGCTGTTTGCAAAACCGTAAGCAATTCCACAAGTACGGAATTTATTTGTTTGTTTGCTTACAGACAATATCAAGGTCTGTCCAGGTACAAGCCAGATAAACTGAACCGCAAAATGCTGAGCAAGCTGATCTTCAGACTCCTGGAGCGATTTAACGTAGATCCAGGTATGTGATGCTGCAGCATACTCTGGAGCCACCTCAGTAACACAGAACAGATGAAGTCAGTTGTCTTCTTCCGTGTTTAGCAAGGAATCTCTGCTGTAATTTATCATGGGTAGTTTCATAGTTTAATTAATGGTATTCCAAAACAAGGCTGGTAAGTTATGGGAATTATCGCTTTGTGCTGTCGGAGAATGAAGTGCTTGTGACTAATAGGCTGCTTCTTCCATGATATGAAATAAATCTTGACCTCAGAATGGCACTACATAAACACATGATGGCCAGCTTTGAGTTACGACTCCATTCCGCTCTCGTAAGAAGCAAGTCATTACTCATCTCGGGATCTGTTTTCTTGAGTTATGAGTCCACCAGTTGTGAAGAGATAACCCTTTGGAAGCAGAAGCCTTGCAGTCCTTTGTATTCTTTTTGTAAAATAGGGTTGGCAGCAGGGAACTTGAAGACTTGCAGTTTCCTGAGAGAAGTAAAGCACTTTACATCACTGAATAGATCTGCTACACTACCAGTTGTCTTATCAAATCTGCTTCATCCTGCTTTCTGTTGTTAGTGAGCACTGTTGATTTTTGCCACCCTTTGGGACCATACGTTGGAAACCTTTAGGTGCACTGTTAGGTTTCACCCTACAAAGCTTTCCATCATCTCCTCAAGATACGCAGTTCTCTTTTCTTGGACTGAAAAGTGGTTTCTAACCACAAACTGTGGGCTTATTATGCCTGGCAGCAACGCTGTATTGCATATTAATCTTCACGTTTTCAACCTGCGGCTCAGAAGTTAATAAGATAATCCTTGCAGACCCTCACTGGAGGATAAGTAAATACAATTAAGCTTAGCACTCTGGTGTGGAATCTGAGGCACAAGGGGGTGATTTATTTAACATTTAAAACATTCCTTGGAGTTTACTAGTCTTCAGTAATTTTTCCTTCTTTGTGAGGTTAATCATTCACTAGGCTGTATTGTCCTTCATCTGTAAAGGGCATTGAGCTGTTGCCCTTTCGTTGTAAAAGATGCACCACAGATATACCTTTAGCTATAAATGTGAAATGCCATAATCCCTGCAAAGTCATGAGGTAGTAGGACGATAATAATAAAAATTCTAGGAGAAAGAAGAATATGGAGCTGTTGATCTCCGTTGCTCTCTATTGGCTGGTAGTGTGTCAGCCTGGTGAGAGCGTCCCAGGAATTGTACTGCCATGAGTAATGGCAGTCTCTAACTGGACCTCCACAGTGGATCCACAGTGAGGAGTTTCCCTGAGATGCAGAATGAGAGTCTCTCCTACAGACATTATTCCTGCCAGCAGTTCCAGAGAGTGACTTGTCCCACACTACAATGCAGGGTGAGCCACAGGCTAGAGGGAGCTGACTCACCTACTGTGTGAGATGGCCTGTGGTCCTTCTGATTTTGAAACAACGTCATACTTGGCCCAGCTACAGCCAAGGTTGACTGACTCTCATTCATAGATGTGGATGTGAAAGTGGATATTCATTTTTTTACCTCATATCACAGAATCACAGAATTGTAGGGGTTGGAAGGGACCTCCAGAGATCATCAAGTCCAATATCACATGTAATTAAGAGCAGCACTTGACACTTTGCTAAACCAGGGGCCTTGTAGTCTCCTTTGAAATACTTTGGAAATTTTTCAAGCATGTGAAATTTTGTTTTCAATCTTCTGGAACTGAACTGAAAGTGGTGGCAGCTGGAATAACGTGACTTTCCTCTTCTCTGCTCCTCTTTCCCTTGTTTAGTGCACGTAGATCTTAACTGTGAGAAAAGAGTGCAAGAAGGAAACAGACTTGGTAGAATGGACAGATTCTAAAAACTTTCTTCTGAGATCTCCTCTTGTCCTGAACAGCTCCATCAAAAGCAAGCAGTGAGGTGAAACTCACACTTGGTGTTACCTAACCTGATTGTGGGCTTGCTCGATGCCGCAGCCTTCGGCTGCTTGCTGTCTCCTTTCATGACTCCCACTTGCTGAGAGAGGCTGAGAGCAGCAGCAGCAGAGGGAAGTGGCTTTTGGTGAGAAAGGCTGGAGGAGGACAGGGTTTCTTGGTATGAGAAGGCAAGCTTGTACGTGACTCAGTTACTGTAGTTCCAAATCCACTTTCATTCTTCCTCTACCCAAGAGCTCACCGCTGTCCTCTCAGAAAATGTCAGTGAACCTAAGCAGAACTTTGGTGTGTTCAGCCTCTAAGACTTGAAACACCTCTTGGAACTGCCATTTTTACCTTTCAGAGCCTGACAGGAGGTGGCCCAATAAAAATAATAGGTCTGGAGCCTCAGAGCAAATAAACCATCGGCTTAGGTTAGTCCACCTCATCTTTTTCTGAACTGCATCCCAGCATCCCTGCTAAAGACAAAGCAGGGCACGGTAAGTGGGAGATTTTCTGCTGAGTCCCAGGGGCGTCCTCAGAAACTGTGTGTGGATTCCATATAATTAGCTTTATTGGGGAAGGAAGAAGTCTGGCAGAAATGGCGTGTGATTGAGGAAATGGCGTTTTACAGAGTCTTTTCTCACACCTGGGTCAGTGTGCTCTGGTTTAACGAGCCTTGTAGCTATTGCTGCCTAATTGCTTAATGCTCTTTGGAGACTCTCAGAGGTCGACTTAGATTTGCAAAACAATTGTTAGTCCAAAGCAGATCTCTGAGATGGGGGAGCAGACCCTGAGTTTGGAATGGTTTTGTTTATTTGTCTGTATCTTTACACAGCCAATTTACCCCCAGCAGCTCAGCGTTGGCTTTAGATGTGACAGTTCATCATTTGTGAGATAGGAAGGGAATCAGAGCCGTCACCTCTCGGGCTCAGCTTTCGTGTGAGAGTAAAGCAGTGATAGAGAAGGGATGGGAATTGAAGGTATGGCAAGAAAGTCCTGCAGCAGCATCGTGAGCCGCCTGAGCACCTCGATGCCCGGGCACTCTGAATGTCTTTGGAAAGTGGTTTTTTGGCATAAACCGAGCGAAACGCTCCTGGTTTGGTCAGCAGGTTGGTTATTCCCTGAAAGCTGAAGCTTTGCTGCCTTACGGGTCTCTGCAAGGAGCGCTGCCCGCAGTGCCGCCGTGCCCGGCGCGGTGTCCCGGGGCAGCAGGGGGCGGACGAGGGCCGCCCGGCAGCGGGCACAGCCCGGAGGAGATGCGCTGGAGGAAGGAGGGGCTGGGCCGGCTCCTGGCCGGGGGAGATTTCAAACGTTTTCACCTTTTGCTTGTTAAGAGCAGGAGGTGGTTCTTTTCCTTTGCAGTTGCTTTGCAGTGGCTGTGCGCCCTGCGGACGCCGTGGCGTTCCTCCAGGCTTGTTAGCCCTCGTGGTGCATGCCAGCTCGTTCCTGTATGGCACTGTAGGCTTACACACTGGGTCCGAGCGTCCTGACCTGGGCTGCACTTGGGCTGCTGGAGAAGGGAACGTGTCAGCTCCATCCTTGGTCCTTACCTTCTCCAACGTGTTTGCCTGTGCTGAAACACAAAGGGTGCAAGACCTGCTGTAGGCAAGCCAAGGCGCCCAGCAGCTCCACGCTGTCCATTGCAAACGTCACACCAGTCCTGGTGTTCTGGCTGTGAATACATCCTATCTATACTTGTGGAGAGACCACACCAGAGCGATTTTTCCTGTAGGCACTGATCGAAAGCCATGTGCTACGCTCTCCCTGCACAGGGTCAGCCAACACTCCTGGCAGCAAAACCAGCAGGGAGCTCAAGGGTTTGGGGCCAGACTTGGGCTTCTGCTCCCCTTCCCTTCCAAGGACTGCTCAGCCCAACCTGCAGTGGCTCAGAGCACTGTGAGAGACAATGCATCTTTGAGGTTACAACAAAAAGAGGTTTTCTTGAGTCTTGCCTTACCCTCCACTGATTTGCACTCAGGGAATACTCTCATCATAATATACTGCGATTAATGCACAGCTCGCTCCTCATCAGGTTCCCCAGCAGTCCTTAGCAGTACCGGGGTAAAAGCCTCTAGGATTTCAGGTTCTCTGATTTTATTAAACCAAGGCTGCTTTACTTTGTCCCACAACAAAGTCTGCTTTGTGTGGGCCTTCCTGTTCTGCCAGGGCAGAGTAAAGGAGTCCCATTGTGAATGGAGTCAGGCACTCCGTGTAACGAGAGGGCCCCGTCCTCATCCCAGCTCAAGAGGAGTCATTTGTGACCTGAAAGCAACAGTCACACACCCAGAAATGCATTGCACCATGTACCGGTGTTACATGAATGAAACAGGTGTGTATTAGTGGTTTCACATCCGATGTGACAAACAGATTTCATTTTTACTTCCTCTCCGTTGCTAATAGTCATTAACTCCCTGCTAATGGCTGAGAGCAGAGTGGAATTTTTGCTTCTGAGTCAGTCCCAGATGTGTACCTCTGTGCAGCACTGTTGTGGAGCTGTCCTGGAGGTGCTTCCCTATTGTTATGTTGAAAGGGTAGGAAATGGTTTGAAGTTGAGGGAGGGCAGATTGAGATTGGATGTCAGGGGGAAGTTCTTGACAGAGAGAGTGGTGAGGAGCTGGAACAGCTGCCCAGAGAGGCTGTGATGCCCCGTCCATCCCTGGAGGTGTTCAGGGCCAGGTTGGATGGGGCCCTGGGCAGCCTGGGCTGCTGTGAAATGTGGAGGTTGGCGGCAGGGGGTTGGAGCTTCATGATCCTTGAAGTCCCTTCCAACCCCGGCCATTCTGTGATTCTGTGTTTCTGTGTTATACTGTTTGTGTTCCACTCGTGCTTCACAGCCCAGCGATGATCCCCAAGCTCCCCAAGTACAGCTGCAGAATAGGAAGATGGTTATTATCCTGCAAACAAAACACCTGTTTTGACTCAGATCCGAGTTCAGATTCGTGCTTGGTCCTAATCAGTACGTGGCCTTGGAGAAGTTGCTCTTCCCTGAAGTGAATTGGTTTCTGCAGTCATGAAACTGCAGTGAAAAGGCTCAGCAAAGATTCTGCAGTGCTGCCCTCATCACGCTCAGTGCCCACAGCCACAGGCTTCCCTTCCGCTGCTTCTGTATAAAGTCTGTAACCTATTCTTACTGACCTCCAAGGTGGAAAGCTTGCAGCATCCCATGCAACCTATGGTGTTCTTCTCTAGCCATTCCATTAGGTGTTTTTTTTTTCTTCCAAAATGCTAACTGAAGTTTCTCTTGCTGCAAAACAAGTCCATTACCAGCAGCTTTGTCCACTGTAAATGTGGGAGTCTTGAAAACTCACAAAATGCTGCATTTAATAGTACAGAGAACCTTACTGTAACAAAGATGAGCAATACCTGGCCCATACACAGCTTTCCTCCTCTGTGCAGGGACTTGCTGGCACTTTCCCTGGTCTTCCTCTTTTTACAAATTTATTTTTAGCAAGATTTTTTCTGCCTTTATGGTTCTTGGTGGATGCATCTCATGTTTAACTTTAAGCTTTCTGACTTTACATGTTTGCATTCTTCCTTGGCCTGCGTCTAATTCAGTTCCACTTTCTGTGCACTTCCTTGCTGTATCTGAGGCCTTTCAGTGAGACAGCCCTTTTCTAGCTCTCTGCCTCAGTGTCATAGATCTTCTGATATAGCAGTTATTCTCTTACTTCACTTCCAGTTTTCCATTTCCAGCTCTTCTGAACCTCTTTTTCCCTTACCAGCAATATGAAATCTTACCTGCCAGTTCACTGAAGTCCATTTTGGTTTTATTTTGCTGTTTTTCCTTTAAACCCATCTTTGTTCCACCAAGTTACTTTTCATCCTCACGTTTTCCATTCTCTGTTGTTTGTAATAAGATACTGAAAATGGATTCAAGTTCAATTCTTCCATATCAGAGTGGAAAACATCACTGGTGTCTTTAAAATTGTACAGAGTGTCTGTGTCCCTCTATCCTGACATGTGAAATCCCTTGGTTCAACCAAGTCCCATCCTTTGGAAATTTCCTCTGGGGTCTCTCAGAAAAAAAAAAAAAAAAAGCCTTTAACAGATTCTCTTTGGTGATCTGAAGCAGTCCCACCATATTTTTCTCTGAAGTGCTTTGAAATCTTTAGGGTAGGAGGTATAACCTTGCTTTGAGGTTATATGGTCACACTGGAAGACGAACTTAAACATAACAGCTTTAAACATTGGTGTTTGAGATGGCAGCGCTCAGGCTAAAAGCAGTGATTCACCGGGCTCTGAAAGCTGCACTGTTCCGCATCCTTCTGCTTGCAGGGACTGGTGGTCAGAGATCTCTCTTCACTCTGCTTTCAGTCCTCTGGGCACACCACGTGTGACGCGGAGCATCCTGTGGAGAGCACCCTCTGGACAGCAGCACTGCTTCCTCCTGCTGTCAGCTCATTACAGGGAGGCTGCGGAGCGTTTTCTCTTTACTGTTGCCTGATAGCATTTCCGATTGCTGATCCTTCTCCTTCTGGCTCCCAGGATGGCTTTAGCCACTGAAACCCAACGGAGGGTTTGGTTCCACCTTTCCATGCACACACATCCCAGCATCCTGCGAGAACTGACAGATATGTATGCCAATCCTATTCAATCTGTTTTATCTTCTGCATTTATCTCTCACTGCAGTGGATTTCAAAACAACGTGCTGTGTGAAGATCTGATTTTTTGCAGTTGTAATGCAGCGTATCTAATGAAGATGACAGTAATAAAAACAAAAACAACTGTTGCTTGCTAGCTCAGCGACATGGTAGTCACTTCCCTCTTTTGTATGGATATGGAGTCTCTTTCCTGTGTATGTATTTTATTGAATGAACTTTAGCCACAAGTGTAAATCCTGAGCAACGTGTTCAAAACTGCTCAAATGATCCAACAGCACAGCTTCCATTCAAATCAAAATTAATACAACCTTTAGACACTGGAGGTGGTACTTCTGAGAGGATGCAATGTAATTAAAGGTGTGAAGTCATTGACTGTGAAGGATATTGAACCAGCAGGTGATCTTATCAGTCAGGGGTGGTGCAACCAGAGATATCAGTAGCCAAGGATTAGCATTGGTAATCATGGTTGAAAGTGTAAATAACAGTTTATAGTTGAGATAAGCTGACTCTGTGTGTCTGTCCCTCATTGTTCTGAGTTTGATGGCATCCTGCCTTTCTCTTACATAGTTTGAAGCTGGGAAAGAAAAAATCTGATGGCGAGGCAGTAAAGCTTATTGGAAGTTCAGTTATGTTGTATACTCACATGCCTTTTTTTCCTTTTAGCTCTCTGTCCTAATGTCATAAATCAGCGGCACTTGAGAACTCTGAATTATCTCTTTTACAAGAGGTTTGTGGAGGTATGTTTCTGTATTGTGTGGCATGGCTGTGGATGAGTCTTTATTTGTTTCCACATTCTGAATGACTGGTATCACAGAAATACATGTATATACATATATGTACTGTATGTGAACAAGCTCCTGTGGTAGTTACCATGTAGGCGTGCTGGGTGTGCTGCTGGACCTGTGCGTTCTGTTAGAGAAAAGCTGCTGTGTCCATTCATATTCCAATGAGCAGTAGTGGTAATTACACAGATCTGGGTCCTTGTTCACCTGTGTCCTCAGCAGTGCCCTGGGACACGTGTACATCAGCACATAGCTGGTAAGGGGCGACTCTCCACTGGTCTGGTTTCTCTCAACCATCACAAACAGACTGGAGAAATACTGCATAGAGAAGACTTCATCTTTTATTTTCTGAATTTAAGAGCACCGCTGTGTAAGCACTCTGCATTGCTCTGTTCCTTGTAGTCACTTCTTTGTTACTGGTGGCCCGCCTGTGATAGGTTCAGTCCCAAGCCTGCCACAGACGGTTTTTGTGCTAGCAGCCCTGTTACTACTGAGCCAAATGGGAGTGCTTTCAGCTCCTGAACGACTGTCTGAACTAACTGTACTATTGCCCAACTTCCGAGTCCTCTTTGCAAGCACACTGTTACATGTCCTGGCACTGAGGGCTCCTAAAAACAGGAAGATGCCATTAATTCTTTCTGGGGAGCATTTTCCAGGAGGCAGCCTGGAGTTTGACTTGCAGTTAATTGCAGAATTGCTTGACAGTGCTTTCTTCTCCCCTCTCATGAGTGTGCTGAGCCAAGTCACTGCCCTTTGAATCACAGAATCACACACAGAATGGCCCGGGTTGGAAGGGACCATAATGAATCTCCAACCCCCTGCCACACACAGGGCCACCAACCTCCACATTTCACACCAGCCCAGACTGCCCAGGGCCCCATCCAACCTGGCCTTGAACACCTCCAGGGATGGATGGGGCATCCACAGCCTCTCTGGGCAGCTGTTCCAGCACCTCACCACTCTCTCTGTCAAGAACTTCCCCCTGACATCCAACCTCAATCTTCCCTCCCTCAGCTTAAAACCATTTCCCCTTGTCCTGCTGTTATCAACCCTTTCCAAGAGTTTATAGGCTCCCTTTAGGCACTGGAAGGCTGCAGTGAGGTCACCCCACAGACTTCTTTTCTCCAGGCTGAACAAGCCCAGCTCCCTCATCCTGTCTGATCATCTTTGTGGCCCTCCTCTGCACCCTCTCCGACAGCTCCCTGTCTTTCTTTGGATGCTCTTGAGCACACTGCAGTGGGAAGCTCATTTCCCTTCTTGTTAACTGTTTTGGTGCTTTTCTCGATTTTCTGGCATTCCCCATCACCCTGGGCCTTGCAGATTGTCTCAGCTGAGAATCAATTTTGTTTGCTTCTTCTTCTTTCATGGCGTGGTATTTCACCAGTTGCAGTTCATAGAGGACTTCTTTCCTGTGGTTGCAGGAAGCTCTTTAGCAGCGATTTTAGCGGCCCCGCATGTTGTTCCCAATTGATCCAGTCTTCAGAGATCCACTTTGCAGGAAATGAGACACCTTCTCCAGAAGTGCTTTGTCTTTTTTTCAAAAGAGGATTCGTTTGAAGTTTGCTTTGAAAGGGAAGATGTGGTCAAGTGGTGGTCGTCTGATGACACTGCTCTGGCACAGGCAGTTCTGCTTCAGGCCCTCCTGATCCAGAAGTAAGGCTGTGATTCCTGCCTAGCAGAAGAACTGACACAGACCTGGGGAGGCGTGGGCCATTCTGCATCCTTCATCACAAGGCTGTGGTGTTGGACAATGTCATTCTAGGGAGCATTCACTGTGAAGGAGACGAAAGCATTTGTCCAGGTGTATTTATTTAGCAGAGTGAAATGGATTCTTTATCTGGTGTTCTGCTCTCCCTGGCCTTCCATTTCCTTTGTTTTGCAGTATATGCTTGATTTAAAGTATCCAAGCTGGCCAGTGACTTCAATTAAGGTACATTTGGCAGCTGTTTCTGGACACCATCCCTTCTGAGAGCTCTTCGGTGTTCTGTTTACCATTCTCAGCTGTGTACGAGGTCTGGTCAAATGGCTCCTTCATCTCACTAGTATTTAGATTACATGCTTGTATATCTCCAAGATGTTTTCTGTGAGGCTCTTACTCCCTGTTTGCTCTCTACCTTTCCATAGAAGTGGCACTAGTAGTCACTGTTACTCTGCCAGAAGCTGGGGGTGAGGCTCTGGCATCCATGGCAGATCAGTCTCTTGCAGCCTGCTTTCTTGGCAGAGTGGAGAACAGCTCCTGTCCCAAGTTTCTCCCAAAGTTGGCTCTGAATTACACTTGAATGGGAATTTTAGCTTATCGGTTTCCTTTCCCAGGCCTCATGATTTCAGAGGATTTTTCATGACTTGGCTGTGGAGAAGAGTTTGTCCTTTCGTATTCTGGAGGCTCAGCATTGCAGATAATCCCTGAGATCATTTCCGTACTGCAGCCCATGGGGACGCTTTCTGTCAGGCTGTGCCACAGAGGGGAACATTCTATGGACACACTGCACACCTCCTGAGGAGAAGGCAGCAGCAACAATCCACGTGTTCCACCACACTGTGGCCCGTTTCAGCTTTGCTCAGTGACGCTTTGGTCGTTGCAGGAGCACCACTCGAGTAAAGGTGATTGCTTTTATAAGTGAGTCCCAGCTCTGGGTAGTGAGGAGTGCTTGAGGCACTGCTGGGTGAGGAGCTGTGTTGCCCGTGTGCTTTGATCAGATTGAGACTTTTGTCTTTTGTGATGTAGCTGCCCAAATTACACGGTCTGGGCTGTGTTTTTCTGCCATTCTCCGGCTGGTGACATATGAGAAGCACAGGTTTCCCATGCATTCCTGTACGCATTCCTCAATTGATGGCAGTGTTTAGGATGGTGTGTTAAATTTCACCTTGTTGTATGTAGCATTCTCCTCTTTGTACGATAGCTCAGGAGTCATTTTGTCTTTTCAGAAAACCATGACTCAGGAGAATTGGACAGATCACGTCCAGGTGAGTATGGATTTCTCTCTCCCATTTTCTCAGGCTATTTGGTTGGGGGCTATTTTAAGGGGTTCAGAATAGACAACCAAATACTGGAGCCCAACTATTAGAGATTTACACTTTGTGTAAAAGCTCAGACAGCAAAATAGAGGGTGCAGGGAAGAGCAAGGAAGAAAAACTATATTTGAATTCCTGTGAGACTTTAAACAATCCTGGTTTAACTTTAGCTTTTGGATGATGTTATCAAATGCATTCTTTTGCTTCCTGGTGCTTATTTGTACAAATAATGAGGATGCTTAATTATGAGGAGGAAGAGAAGAAATTTTCTTCAGGCAGCTGGCAAACTGTGTGAGTAAAACCAAACAAATGTCAGACTGGCCACTGAACAGCCCACTTGGAATAACTCCCAGCAGGTTCATGTGTGGCTGTTAGGCACTGTGACTTCTACGTCTTGTGCTCTCAGACATGAGCAGTTTTAATAATGCAGGAAAAAGTATTTTGTTTTTTCTTAATGTACAACGGGAGAGCTCAGGCAACTGCGTTTTGGCCTGAAACTGCAATAAATACATAATAGGACAATGAGATACTGGGAAATTCTATGGTGATACCCCATTAGTGACAGTGTATACACCCAGGCATGTGAGATGTTGTGCAGTATCTGTGCACACCAGATTTGGGTGCACTTTCAATATGAGATGTTTCGTCTCCCTTCCGTGAGGTAGAAGGAAAAGGGACAGTGCCAATTCATGAGGAAGGGTTTCTTCAGACAGATGGTTGATAAGATGGCCAGCATCCCTTCGTGGTAATTGTGAAACCTACTCTGTGTCTTTCTGAGCGGGATATTTAACTTCCACATGTAGCATATTGTACCCTTGCAAGAGGCCAGACTTTGTGAGGGAAGATTTGGTCTTGGTTCTTGATCTCAGTGATCTTTTCAGCATATTTGTGGTTTTCCTTTGATTCCCACAGGCTTGAAGGCCAACACAAGTGCTGGCTTCTTGCTGGATCAGGACCTGAGATGGGATTGGACATGAGGGTGTAGCAGACTTCATGTCACAGCTTTGGTGCATGCAGTGAAGGAGTTTCTGCCAGTGCCATGGTGTGGATAGTGGGAAAAACCTCTAATTAACATACACAGTTACAGACCATGTCAGTCTTCTGTAGCGATGGGACGCATGGCAATAGATGCTCAGGAAAGTTTGGTGGCTGGTGGGAGCTCAGCTGGATGACGGACTATGGCAGGAGATCATCTTTGCTTTCTCCAACCAATGCAAACACTGTGTTTCCTGACTGCTACAGCTTACCCAGTTTTGATAGCTGTGTAATTATCACATGGGTAGTGCTTAAACTTGCCTGTTATCAGTCCTAGCTCTTCTTGCTATCAGAGATTACTGTCTTTGGCATCGCATTAAAGCAATCAGAACCTGTACCTGTGCATCTGGAGGAAACTGAAATAACTGCATGTGCAGCTAAGCTGCTGCTCCACGCTGCTAGCAGCATGGCTGCTTCAAGGAGAAGAAAAGGAAAATCTCTGGACGTGCTTTGTTTACCAGTGCAAAACTCAAGGCTGACTGTAACTGGTTTTTTTGCAAGATTGGGCTTTACCTGAGGGAAAAAGTGTACTTCTCACTCGGAATTTCACTAATGACTTGGCATGTTTTGACCAAACAACAACAACAACAAAAGTCTGTTAGGCAGTGCCTTGTAGGGCTGGAAATAGCTGCGGTTGGTGTTGTGTGTTCCATCTGTGCACGTAGTTCAGGCTCACTGCAAGTTTTGGTGTTTGGAGCTCTGCCTGGTGATGCAGCACTGAGTGGGAAGCAGGGGGAGGGATGCAGAGTGACTTTTGGGTCCTCTGGGGCAGTGGGAACCAAAACTCCCAGAAAACTCCATGATTGACAACAGCCAGAACCTTTGTATAGTATTTTTTTTCTGTTTTAAGTCAAAAGACTCTGAAAGTTTCCGTGGGTTTAAATCCCTTTTTTTTTTTTTTTTTTTTGGTTAAATTCTGTGCTGCATCCATAACAAAAGTCTTACATTATACAGATATCAAGAGCCCTGGTGCAGCCCCCCTTATTCACTGGGGCTGACCACATTTGGTATGGTGAGTGTGGTGTTTCTTTCTGTTCACCCGAAGCAGTACAAGTGCAGAATTTTCCTGTTCCTACCCTGTAGGATGAACGAAGGTGTAAAGCAGACTGCTCCTACAAAAGGCAGAAGCCGTGTAGTTAATCATGGGGCCAACAGAACCTGTTCTCAGCCCTGTAGGAAACTGGTTTTGCCCTCTCCTGCCTGCCGTGCTGGCCAGGCTGCGGCTGAGCAGGCAGGGATGGCAGCTGTGGGCAGGCAGGGGCTGGAGGGAAAGCAAAGGAATCAAAACGTCTTCATCCCGTAGGGAAAGTGCCCTCATCAACCGCCTGTTGGCAAGCCCTGCCAGCCCAGGAGGAGAGCTGTGCTTTGTGTGTCTTCTCCAAGCACAGATACCTCGGGGCACAGGGAGGGGAAGAGCACTCTTCTTGCACGGTGCCAGCTGTGCTGCTCTGCATTTGCTCGCCTAACTGAGCCTGTGAGCTGCGTGGAAACACGCAGGGAGAGTGCCTGTCCTCACAAGCACAGAGGAAGGTGTGTAGGGTACTGATGGTAGATATGCAGGAGAAAAACAGGCAGGGCATGAGCCAGCTGTCTGCTTTGCTGCGTGCCCTTCTGCTCCCATTTTTGCATGTTTAATGTTTTTCATAGCCTTAGCCAGCTGCATAAGGTTAATAGAATTGGGTACAAAAACTGCAGACCAACCGGTGAGATGCTGATGTTGAGGAGCAGTCTGCCTGCCAGGGAAATCCTGCCAGAAAGAACCACTTGGAGACTAAAAAGGGTGGTAGGCATTTTTTATGGAATTACTGAGTTGGAAGGGACCCTTACAGCCATCAGGTCCCACTCCCTGCAGTGCACAGGGACACCCACAGCTCCAGCAGTGCTCAGAGCCCCAACAGCCTGACCGTGGCTGTCTGCAGGGATGGGGCACCACCAGCTCTCTGTGCAATCTGTGCAGTGCCTCACTGCCCTGAGCGTAAAAAAAGCTTCTCCCTTATGTTCAGTCTCAATCTCCCCTCCTTTAGTTTGAAGCCATTTCCCCTTGTCCTATCATAACAGCCCCTGCTGAAGAGTCTGTCCCCTCCCTTCTCACAGCCCTGTAGGTACTGATAGGCTGCCCTCAGCTCTCCCCACAGCTTTCTCTTCTCCAGGCTGCGCAGCCCCAACTCTCAGCTTGTCCTCACAGGGAGGTGTTCCATCCCTGCCATCATTTTTGTGGCCCTCCAACAGCTCTGTGTCTCTCCTGCACTGAGCACTCCCCACCGGGTCGCAGTGCTCCAGGGGAGGTGTCACAGCACAGAGCAGAGGGGCAGATCCCCTCCCTGCCCTGCTGGCACGTGGCTTTGGATGCAGCCCAGGGTACGGCTGGCTTTCTGGGCTGCAAGGGCACATTGCTGGCTCATGTCCAGCTGCTGTCCAGCAGTATCACCAGGTCTTTTTTGGCAGGACTGTGCTGTGTCCTTACACTTGCACTTGCGCTTGCACTGATAGCTGAGGTGCCAGACCTTGTACTTAGAACCCCATGACGTTCTCCTGGGCCCATGGCTCAGCCTGAATGGGTCCCTCTGGATGGCATCCCATCCCTCGGGTGTGTAGAACGCACCTCACAGCTTGGTGTCATCTGCAAACTGCTGATGGTGCATCAACCCACTGATGAAGATGTTAAGGAGCACCGGTCCCAGCACTGACCCCTGCGGGACACCACTTATCTCTGAGCTCCATCTGGACACTGAGTCTTGCTTTTTTTATCATCTGCCAAGCTTTTAAAAAGTGAGCACACATGGACCAGTAACGTGGGTGAGGGATGCAGGGAAGCGACTCAGCTTGCTAATGGCACATCTCACTAGTTTAGCTGTCAGACAGAATCTGACTGATGCAATGCTGGTGACACAGCAGGGCACCTACTGGAGAGCACTCTGTCCGTTCTGAGTGGCTGCTGGGGGCCGAGGGCATCTCACACTGCACCCATCACCTGGCTTTGGTGCTCTGAAGATCTCTGGTTAAAGCAGGAGCGGGAGGGTCGGGTACTTTGCTGCACCTCTCAGGATGCAGTGTTCCCAGGGATACTTTTGGGGTGATCTTGCAGTTGTGCCCATCCAGTGCCACTGTGCTCCTTTCGTGTAAAGTCACCCACGACCCTTCAGATCCAGTCTGGTCTGTGGAGCAGGAACTGAGAGCTGCCAGGGAAGCTCAGGTCCTGATACACCCACAGGTGACACTCTTGTATTGGCAAGGAAAGGCTGGGATATCCGAGTTGGGTACAGGGGAATGATGGAATACTGTGGGTGTTTTCTGAACAATTAGATCCCAGAAAGCACATGCACGCTTGGCAGTTCTAACATCTGGAGTATTTTTGCAGGAAATCATTCAACTGCAGCAGAACTAACCAGTTAGAACAGTTTGAAATGTTATTTCAAGGTACTTTAATCTGGGAACTATATGTATGTTTGCGTGGACTTCTGCTGTGAAATTCTTTTTCCCATGGAGCAGAGTGGGGTGACAGAGAACAGCAAAATGACTCTTAATTTGGGGCAATAACTAGAATATGGTGTTGAACAAAGTTAAAACCAGTTTGTTTATTTAGGACTGTGAGAGTATAATTACTTATTTTGCAAGATCTCTGGGACAGTGAAGTGGTAGATATGGTGATGTTGAGCCAAAGGTCTTTTGGTGGCTAAATCAAAAAGCTTCCCACGGTCGTTTTTGTGCTACTGTTTGCACAGGGGAAGCTGTCCATTTATTCCTCATGTTTTAAATCCTAACCCGTTCCAAAAGAACTCAGAAAAAATGCTGGTGTTTGAAACAACGCTCCATGTTCTTCAGGCATTCACTGTGAGCGTGGCTCAGCGTTCATCCGTTCATCCATCTGCCCGTCCATCCGTCTTTCCAAGCCTTTTGCCAGCAAGTTGTTGGCACCA